GAGGCAGCCAGCCTCATTCCTCGCCAGATCTCCACTGGCTGTATCAGCGTGGAAGTGCTGGAGCACTTGTGCGTTAAGTCAGTAGGAGTAGCGCTGGAGGAAGGAAGATGCGCTATGAAGGAGGAAGAAGATTGCGCGCTGGAAGAGATGCAGCCATAGCTGCCCAGCGAGTTAGCAAGTAGGTTAGAAGGGTTAGTACTTAGCTATGAGTAGTATTCAGAGTAGATCCTTGTGAGAACAGTGTGTGTATGCATCATAGGAGAAGGAGACTGAGACGAAGAGTGTGCATTCGAAGTTTGGCTATGGGAGACACTTACCTGAGTTGGTTGTGATCTGCTGAGTTGGCGCTGATGAGTTATGACTATCTTGATGACTGGGAGACAATCTGCAGGGAAAGCGCTGATGCCCTGGAAGGCATATTGATGAGTTGAGCAGAGATTTGTGTTGCGCTGATGAGCGCTGGACTCAGGGAAACTTTGAAACTCTTTGTAATCATATTTCTGATAATATAAGCTGTGAGACTCGGTCCTCTTCTTCTCTACCTTTGTCTATTGTCAGACTACTGTTCATTGTGTGTGGAAGTTGATGATGCATGACATGTACACATCTGCGTGAGATGGTCCCCAGGACCCATGCAAGAAGCTCAGGCGGGACCAAATGGTCTACCTCCCGGAGGCTGATCAGACTAATCTACGGGGAATCCAAATTTCGCTGCGAACATGGAATATGTCTACTTAAGGATATGAAGATATTTTTCGAGAATGGAGGTCACCTGTCTCATCAAACCCAAATCTGAAGCAGATCGAAGGATCTGAAGGGTGCCACCTAGAATAAATCAGCAGGAGAACCTGGCTGGAAATCTGCCAGATTGAACCAGCTCAAAAAACTAGTTGATTACCTGCTAAAGAATGTGATTTTCAAAGCCGCCGGACAAATCCTGAGACAGAACGAGGGTATCCCAATGGGCTGGCAGGCCATCCCCCCACTGGCTTGCCTCGTTTTTTTTTTTTTTTTTTTTTTTTTAAACAAGGGCTCCTTCTATTCTGGGGAGCGTCAGTCCGGTTCCTATTCCACCGGAAAGTCGGAATTATACACAACAATTAAGATACACTCACGCTTCCTTCCGTCTGGCCGAAGGACCCCTGAGCAGCATTGATTACTCCGTCTTGACGGAGGATTGACTGTCAGCTTTACCCTCTCTGAAAATCCGTTAAACCCTTAATCCCTAAGCCCTCGACTACTATCCTGCTCTATGACACCCTTACTTCCGTCTTATCCACCCCTCGTAGATGTCTGATCATGGAATGTCTTGTCCACCCGCAGTTGTCTGTTGCTGGCGAGTCTTTCCTGGGGTTGGGTTATGCCACTCTTTCCAGCAAATACGGTCCTCTCGTAACTCCGAAATCTTGCCGTTTATCAACCAGTTCTTGCTGAAGGTCCATCTTTCCTTCTTTCGTTGCTCCGGCTTGTATCATCATTTTCGTCTCCGCCCAAACTTTCTTGTGTGGGTTGGACAGTCCTTCAATCGTTCTGCTGCATCTTTCCTTCCATATGACCCATAATGTTACCCTTTTTTTTTTTTTCTTTTTTTTTTTTTTGAGTCTGAGAATTCATTTTGGAAGGGACAGTGGACCTGGTTTCCAGTAACCTACAGCTGGGTAAAGGCCCGAGCATGTGTTGTACCGGGTTGATTTGTGGGGTGTTTTCATGGGCCCCTGTCCCTCACTTGGAAAGAAATGTTGGATTTTCTCAAAAAAAAAAAAAAAAAAAGAAGAGGGCAGGCGAGGGGGACAGCTCAGGACTCAGGAAAATTTGCCACGAGTCGCAAAGGCACAACCCTCTTCACCCCGGTACAATGTACGGTCGTTAAAGCCGAATGTGGGGCAATTTTAAGTCTAGATACAGCAATAGTGAGCGTCGTTTTCGGGTGAACTCGGTAAGGCGTCAATACTGGCCCACTCCTGAAAGGAGACTTTTTTTTTTTTTTTTTTTTTTTAAGAAAGAAAAAAAGAGGGAGACTTTTTCAGACCTTACACATGCTAAAGGTTTTTGTTTTTTTGTTTTTTTTCTGTTTTTTGGCTTGCGCTGTCAACAAAATTGTACGAAACCGTCAGCATTTGCAACACACTTTTCTCCGGGGCTGGAAATGCGCTGCACACCAAAAGAAAAACACAACAACCGGCAAGGGCCTCCTTTTGGCTGGCGCCGCCAGCCATTTTGCTCCGGCGACCTAGCTCCAAATGGAAGCTGCAACTTTGAAAAACAAATGCCCGGGAAACGTACTGGTGGTTCAAAGATGAAATAAAAACAAACGAAAAGAAAAAAAAAAANTTTTTTTTTTTTTTTTTTTTTTTTTTTCAGATCCGGTAACTCGGTCTGCCAGATAAGTCTATGATGCCTAGAAAGAGAACACTCCCTGACCCTGCTGGTCTTTATATCCCATGTTGCCAAGACTACCCAAGAGGTCCACAATCCTCTGCCCCCCTTAACCTCCCTTATAGAAATCATCTTTTGCCCTTGAGCCCTAAACCCTCATCAGTGGTACTTCGAACCCCGCTCTCCCTTGAGATCCGGTAACCCGGTCGTGTTTCAATTCCGCCACTATTCCGCTGTTTCCCGTCTTCGTGGAGCGTCTGCCTTAAATTTTGCCGCTTGCATAGCATTTCTCCTAGAGTGGGTATGTTCACTTTTTCCAGCTGTCTTATGAGCTTAGCCAGCCTGCTCGTGACCAATCCTGTTTCCTGTCCCCCACATACCCTTCCTCCTTTTGGATACCGCTTCATCCTCGAGTCCTCAACCTTCGATGCATTGTCATTCTTCAGTTGGTTCTCAAGAAGTCATTAGCCCACCAGTAGTCCACTGTTGGAAGCCTCTTTCTGCCACTGAGTTATGCCACTCTCTCCAGCAGATACAATCTTCACGTATCTCTGCAATCTTGCCGTCTATCAGCCAGTTCTTGTTAAACCTCAATCTCTCCTCCTTTCGCTGTTCCTCATCTTCTGTCCATGATTGCTTGGTCTTCCGCCATCTGCACAGGATCTCGGCTTGTATCATCGTTCTGGTTTCCACCCAAACCTTCTCCCGTGGGTTGGACTGTCTTTCAATTGTTCTGCTGCATCTCTCTTTCCATATGACCCATAGTGTCACCTTCCTGATGAGACCAAACCAGATCTTTTCTGCCTTTCTGGGCTGATCAGGGATGTTAGTCAAGAGGTGGAGTTGGATGGGTTGCTTAGGGAAGGGGGTTGGGAAGAGTGAGTCCCAGAGTGTCGAGGCTCTCGCCCAGTATTCTGTCGGCTCTCTGCAGTGCACTAGGCAGTGGACTATATCTTCAACTTCACCTTCCGAGCAAACTGTGCATATTTCCGAACTGTTAGGATCTGAGACCTTTCGTCTAGTGTGTAGCCATTGATTCGCTGGTGCTGCTGCATAGGCGATTAGCCATTGCAGACTTCTGATCTTAATTGGCCTGATCAGCTTGAATTTTTTCCATTGGATTTGTGTGAGTTTGTCTGCTTCTTGCCCCAATAGGTTCCGCCATCTGTTTTTGATGATCGGGTTAGCGTTCTTTGTTTTCAGAGACAGTCTATACCCCAGTTTGACTGTGTAGTCGTAGATTGGGATGT